TCAGGAAGGATGTGTGGGAACGACCTGGGGAAGGGAGAGAGCATGGTGCTGGGGAGCAGCTGGAGCAGGTGCCAGCAGTGGAGGGTTGGTGGCAACTCAGGGGCATGCCCAGTTCTCTATGGCTGTCACCTTGTATGGCCTCCAGTGCAGGTGAGCGTGTGGGTGTAGGGTGAGGTTCTGAGACATGAGGGGTCCTGTAGTTGAACAGCCTTGGCTTCAGCCTGGGGCAATGGGGGAGCAGCAGGGGGCTGAGCTAGAGAGGTATTAGGAATCTATTTTGAGGCAGATATGGGGAAGAGGATGTGGAGGAGGTAACGGCTGGGCAGGGTCAGAGCAGGGTCTCGACCAGCTGCATTCAGACCCCAACCCACCACTCACTCAGCTTCTTTGGGTCTTGAATAAGTCTCCCTCTGCACCCCCACCTCCCTTATCCAACACTGAAGGGTTGGAAATACTCTCATGCTGGAGAGTCCTGGGTGTCTGTTAGCACAGAGCTTCTAGGGACCAGGTGAAGCCCACAGAACTGTTGCTGCTGGTCCTCTGATGTCAGGCAGGACTCGATGAGAAGGTGGCCCGAGGCTCTGGGCCCTCAGGCTCCTGTCTCCATCACTGCTCCCACCTGCAGGGAGCAAGGGCAATGGTGATGGTGTAATGTCAGGTTTGTGGGACCCCAATAGACCTCCAGGAGCCAAATCCAATGCAAGCAACAAGAGTCTTTATTGCAAGCTCGAGCCTGGACTCATAACCGTTCCCGACACAGTGGTCCCAGGGAGTGAGTCCTGATCCTTTGTTCAGTGAGATTTAAAGGTTTTGGGGGATACTCTGTGTCACAGCATCACGTAGCAAATCATTTCACACCGCAGGAAAGTCAAACAACAACTCTTAACATTGATTAGCACATTCACTGGTGGGAACAAGATGGATAGGGGTGATTGGCTAGTATAAGAAAGGGATACTTTGAACTGATTGGTTTAGGCCACGAGGGGTGCACATGCTGAACTACATGGTTTCCCAACTTGTTATCAACCACCATAAACTACTGGGGGGTCATCTGGCATCCCAGGTATTTTCCCTGTCTCATGCTGATTGGTGGTTGCTAGGGGGGTTGCTATGGGTTCTCACCTAGCCTGACTGAGTCAGGGACACCTGGCGCCTCAGACCTCTCCTGTTATTTACAGACAAACAACTCAGCAGGGTGGGTATGTGCTTAGGAGTGCTCTGTGGGTTTTTCCAAGGACAAGGGTCACGCCCCCTTCCTTGGACAGGCTTTGCTCTGARGTAGAGGCTGGTTTCTCAATGCTTTCTGTCTGTGTTAGGTGGGATGTGCCCCTCTGTAATTGACAGAAAACTCAAATCCAACATGCTCAAACTGAAGGAGGATTTAGCAGCCTCAAGGTAGGGATAGCTTCAGGAGTTGATTTGATCCAGACACAACAAACTGCCGTCACAGGCCTGTCTTTCCTGGACTCTGTTTCCTGTGGTGTGGGCTCTGTCTTCAGGTGGTTATCCTCATGGTGGCAGAATGAATGTTGCTCTGCCAAGCATAATGTCCTGTATCCTGTAGTGCAGGAGGCAACTTTATGCCACAGAACCCCACTCAAAACACTTCTCTGTCATGTGGGCACAAACTGGGTGACATGCTACCCAGAGATGGGAACCGTGAGATGGGCTTGTGCTCAGCTGTGTGGCAGGTGTTGCTTCCATTTCCGCACAGCCAGGGATGGAATCATCTCCCTCTTTTCTACACTCCCGATGCCCAGCCTGGGGATGCCCAGAAGAGGTGTGGGATCTAGGGAAATGGGTGGGGAGGCGCTGTCACAGTCTGGGGCCCCTGGGCTCAATGAAAGGTAGGATATCCAGTTACACTGTTTCAAATAAATGACGAGCACTTCTTTTGGGGACCAGTTTGGGACATGTCTATACTAGAAAACCATAGTTTGCCTGGAATTCAGATTAAAGAGGGCATCCTTGGTTGACCAGGGCCAGCCTTCCTCACACTTCTGTGTGAGGAGGAGTCCTGAGGGTGAAGGTTAGAATGAGGATTCGGATTCTGTGGTGTGGGGAGAAGCCTGGGAAACTGCACTGTCCACAGCACCGTTGCCAGTGTGCAGCAGGGGCCCCCACTTTGGGGAGTAGAGCAGGTAGCTCAGAAGGGAAGTCGCTGGCCAGGGAGAAAACTCAGGAGGTGCTTGCTGACTTAACAACGGGGAGATCTGCAGAGGGTGGCTGTGCACTTCTCTGAGTACAGGGTTTCACAGCAACGGGACTTCAACAGCTGCAGACCCTCCGCCTCCGATCTGCCAACTGCAGCTGCTCCTGACAGGTGGGGTGGTGTGGTGTGGGATGACATTCACACGAGGCTGGCAGCAGCCCTGGAGGCATGCTCTGCGCCTCGGAGAGCTGGCCACTGGGGCTTTACTGCTCAGCAAGAGCCAGACCCCAGGTGCAGTGCCTGGAGACTGGGCTCTTCAGTTACCAGTGGCAGAGACCCACATGAAGTTAGCAGAGGCCTTCCTGGGGACCTCCTGGGAACTCTGGAGAGACGTCCACGGCTGGTGGAACTGGGGCACCAGGGCCTTCTGGCTAGGATGGCTGAGCCACGGGTCATGCCCTCTCACCCCTCACCTACATGCCCAGCCTCATTTTCTGCTGTGGCCTCCTCTGCACGGTGTGGGACAGGTCGCCATTGGCTCCAGAGCCTCCCCTTCCCAGTGTCTGCCTAGGAGTGCAGACTTGCGGGGCCACAGAGGAGAAGGCCCCTGACTGGCTGGTGTGGGTCACGGGAGGCAGCGAGAGCTCTGCTGTTCTCTCTGTACGCAAACCCAGCACTCCATCATACTCAGTGTCTCTGCTTCAAATCATCGCATCTAGAGGACAATGACGTTGGGGGCGGGGCGGGGGGGGCTGGCAGTGAGGCATACATCTGAAAGTCTGCATCAGGGAGGGCAGCTGCAGGAAAAGTATCTCTCCATTAGAAGTTGTTTCTATTCATATTTTAAAAACATTTTCATTTGTGGTAAATGCACATAGCTTAGCCATCTTTAATTGTATAATTCAGTTTAATTATTTTCCTTTTGTGCTTCCAGCATCACCAAAAGTGAAATGAGGCACCCTAACCAATACCTCTCCATTCCTCCCACCGGCCCTCTGGTGATCACAGGTCTTCCTATCTCCGAGTTTCTCCACTCTCAGTACTTGCTGGAGCGGAGTCACACAGTTTCTTTTCTGACTTGCTCAGGTCACTTAATGTCTGCAAGGCTCCTCTGTGCTGTTGCACATGTCAGAGTTCCTTTCCTTTCTAAGGCTAAACAATATCCCATTGTGTGTGCACCCTGCATTTTGTCTACGCATTCATTTGTCCATGGACACTCAGGTGGCTCCCACTCTCAGTTACTGTAGACAAAGCTGCTATGGCCATGGGTATGCAGATCAGACGCTGCTCTCTACTTCAGAAGGGCACCCGGTGGGAGAATGTGTTAACACAGGGTCAACGGGGGACCCAAGCTTCTCTGGCTTTGCTGTTTCCTTTGTTACTGTCCATGTCCAGCCAGCAAGAGGGGAGACAGTGGAGCTCCTAAAAGCCTGGGCCTGGAAGTGGCCTGTGTCACCTGTACTCCTATCCCATTGGTGAGAACCCATCATGAAGCCACACTGAGATTCCAAGAGGACAGTGTAACCCCAGGAATGACCTTGGGCCAGAGGAAGGGAAGAGCGTGGGTTTTAGTGGTAAGGGAGCCACTGCAACCCCGCCCTGTGGTTGAGAAACATCCCAGTGCTGGTTTGGTTGTTTTACAGACTCAGGACTAGCAGTTTCCTCTCATGTGAAACTCAGCAGGCACCGTGCCTGTCACAGAACCATCAAGTGCCTAAGTCACCCTGTCTCCTAACTCTACCATCTTCTACGTGTGGCTTCCGTCTGGTGATCCAAGCCAGCTGCTCCAGATCTCAGTGTTTGGTTCTGTTTGGCCAGCTAGTAAGGGAAGGGGACAAAGAGAGAGGAAGCTGCCCTTTCACTRCAGCCTCCACAGGACACCTGCTGACCTAATTCAGAGGAACACAGATGTGGTGTTTCTTGTACATGGGCTTTGTGTGCAGAGTTCATACACATAATCATAAATCTATAGCAGCATACTCCTTCTTTACTAAGATTTGTTTTAAAAATTGTCTTTGCAGTATTTTTGAAGCCGGGACACAAACATATCTTACTATTGGCATGCAAAGACATTGCAAAGGCATTGAGTGTGCAATCTCGGGATTCGTGTGGTCTGACCTGAGGATTCCCCGCAGCTGTAGCATGAAATGGCTAATAAGTAATCGTTGCTGCCATTGCGGTTGGCGTTTAGATGAGCCAGGGAGAGAACTGAGCGACGTTCACAGGTGTTACTACACACATGGTCCCCCCGCCCCCGTTTCAGGTGTCCCATCACAAGTTAGGTGTAGCGCTTGTGTTTCTGACTCCCAAGCTTGCTGTCCGTTTCAGTGACGACAACATAAAATGTTTATAATTAACTTGCAGCGGGCGAGACGGCTCGCGGGGCAACGGCCCACACCGGAGCCCTCCTGCCTGGCAGCGCCCGGGGCCGCGCGGGGCCGGGGACTCCCGCTGCCGAGTGCACAGTCACGGCGAAACGCACCCTCGCGAGTCGCTCAGTGAGCGCCCTGACCGCTCGCGCTCCGCAAGTGGGGAGGAGACCCATTACGAAGCCTGGTGGTGCCAGGACCTAGGGGAGGCACCGCGCGTGTCGCGTCCTTCGGGAGCGGGAAACTGAGGCCGACAGGAGCGGCAGGGACAGGCTTCCCTGGCGCGGCGCCTGAAGCGCAGCACTGTCCGGCAGCGGTGGGGCCCAGGGCCAGATCCCGGGACGGAAGGGGTTACAATGATAGAGACGACAGGAGGACCGGGTGGCGCGAGCGTCCCCGGGGTGGCGCGGCCTGCGGACCGCGCAGGCGCGAGCGGCCGGCTGGGGGCCGCCCAGACACCCGGAAGTCTGCGCCTAACGGGCCGTGCCGCGCCTGCTGTCCTGGGAGGGGCGGGGCCGGCGCCCCTCGGCGCGAGGCGCCATAGAGCGGGGACGGAGGACTCGGGTCCTAGACGCGTCCGGAAGTGGCTTCCTCCGGCGCCGCTCGGCACCATAGAGCTGGGGGGCTGCGGCCAGGGGTCGCGGAGCCCTCCTGCCTAGAGCGGCGAGGACGGGGTGGCGGCCCGGGCGGAGGGGCAGGGGAGGGGGAGCGGCGCGGGCGGAAGCGGCCGGGAAGGTCACTTCCGGCCTGGGCGCCCGTCCCCCTGACCCCAGGGTCTGAGTCGCCGCGGCCGCCGCTGCCACCATCCGCGAGTCAGGCGCGAGGAGGAGGAGTGCGGCGCGGTGGCCCCGGGCCGGAGGAGGTGAGGGCGGCACGGGCGTGGGGGGCGTGCGTCGGGGGTGGCGGGGGGCGCGCGTCGGGAGCCAGCCTTCGCACGGGGGTGGGTGGGGAGGCGGGCGGACGAGCGCGGCCGGGCGGGCGAGCGCGCGTGCGCGCCGTTGGGGGGGGAACGTGAGCGGGCGCGCGACCGGGGACTGCGCGTGCGCGCGACCCGAGGTTCTGGGGTAGTGCGCGGGCGCGCGGCACGGTGGCGCGCGTGTGACTGTGGGGCCGGGCCGGGTCGGGTCGGGTTGGGTCGGGTCGGGTGGCTGGGTCCGGGGCTTCTCCGTGCCGCTCGGCACCTCCGCCCCCCGCGGCCGGAAGTGCTGGCGACTTCGGGTGTGGGGGGGAGTTGAGGCCGGGCGGGGCAGAGGCCGCGCGCGGGGCCGGGCTGGCCGGAAGCGGCGGCCGGGCCGTCGCGGCCCCAGGTCTCGCGGGTCTCCTCCTTCCCCTTTCCGAGTCGGCTGGTCCGCTGCTGCCCCGGGCGGGCCGCTCTGCCCTTTGATCCACGGGTAATTACGGGGATGCGGGCAGCGAAGGCCCATTCATTCTCCCGCTCGCCGGCGGGCGGCAGGAAGCGCGTCCCKGGCGGGAGGCGGCCGRGCCAAGGTCAGCGCCGCGTGGCCGCGCGGGGCCAAGGCCGCGGCCTCCCTGCGCGCCCCGCCGGCCGCCGCGCCTCCCCCGCCGCCCCTGTGGACGGAGGCCGCCTGGGTCCGCCCGTGCTGGGCGTCAGGGACCGCGAGACAGCACGGGCCGAGGTGGAGGGCTGACAGCGAACCCTGACAGGGCACCACCCTGCCAAAGCCCTGCTGGGTCCGGGAGCCACCCGACCAGCCCTCGGGGCCCCAGGAGCGCAGCGACTTGTTTTTTTCCCTGTGGTTTTCTGGTTCCAGGCTCCTGTGGGGCAGTGCAGAGGAGCCAGTTGAGGTCTGGCCTCGGTGCTGGGCCAGCACAGTGTCCTGGCGCCCTGGCAGACCCTGGCCTCTTGGGCTGAGTTTAGACCCCTTGCCTCTGCCCAGAGAACATCCCGTCAGACAACTACTTGTGGTGCCGCAGGTCCTAACCTTCCGAGCTGAGCTGAGGAATGGGAAGGGCTTATCCTGCCTGGCACATGGCGCAATGCCAGAATGAAGAGAGGCGCTGGCCGGCCGGGAGTATTCCCCAAGAACTCTGGGGCGCCAGTCCTTCAGCCAGCCCTCCTTCCTTCTATGACCCGAGACAGGAAATTACACTCCTTTTCTTCCTGGACAGCCCTGGTTGATAAGGACAGCGTTAGCCTCAGTAGAAGGCTCTTGATACTTCCCTTTAAGAGCCAGGGCAGAATTCAAGAGGTCAGTGTAAAGCTCTGGAAAGGGCTCTAGAGCCAGGCATTGAGTTCCCATTTTGGCCCAGTCTAGTCCAGTTCTGTGACCTTGGATGTGTTACTTCCTCTTTCCTGGACTGTTTCTTCTTCCCTCCTGCAATGTGAAGAGCTTGGTGAAATTCCCGTAATAAACTAGTCCATCAAGGACGAAGACACAGGTGGTTCCAGTGTATTGCTGTGCTATGGGGCCCCAGACTGGGTGGCAGAGGAGGGTCCCAGTGCCTCTTGAGCCAGGCCCAGTGGCTGTAGAGAGATGGGGCGATTTGCCAGAGTGGCCCCAGGGACCCAGAGGGTTGTCAGGTGAATGTGCAGGGCCAACAGCACATCTGGGGTAGATAGAGTAGGCAATAGCCAAGAGGACCCAGGGACCTCGGGGAGATGGCAGGATGCATGGTCAAGGCCATAGCAACTGTGCAGCTGCACCAGGGTCTTCTAGTCATTGATGGACACCCAGCTCTTAGGATTGTGCCCAGACACACCTCATAGGCCTCCATAAACCTGGGTTAGTTGTCCTCTGGAGCTGAGGTCATGCCAGTATTGGGCCTTGGTATTTAGAGGTCTGCAGACTTGATGACACTTGCCATGCATTTAGTGTCTGGTGTTCCCCTGAGTTCTTCAAGGCCCTGGGGCAGAGGTGGTTACCCCATTTAGCAGGATTGAATAGAGGCCGGTCAGTACTCACAAGCTCCAGGACCCACAGCACCATCAGAACACTGTGCTGTGTTTAGTTACAGAGCTGGCCTTTGTTGTACACCCCTCTGTTGGCTTGATTCTTTTGGCTAAGAGTGGAGTCAGAAGAGATGAACCTGATCTGAAGCCTCTTAGTTGTAGAGTTGTGGTCTCTGAGTTCCCCATTCTGTGGGGTGCACTGTCATGAGAACTCCATGCAGGGCTGCTGGCTGCTTCAAGGGACTCCTTGAGAACCAGCCTCCCATTTTAGGGGTCCTGCAGCGTAGGGAAAGATTCATGCCAGCCAAGTGGATGGGGGAATTGGGGTTGTCACACTGCCAGTGCTGGTGGCCCTGTCCTAGGAGCTCAGAGAGCACATGCCTTACTGCTATGGAGGAGCCAACCAGCTTGAGCCCTGGCCCAGGTGGGCCAGTGGTTTCCACACTTGCCTTTGCCATACCCTTTGCCCTCTCCCTGTGAGCTTGCAGGCAGTGGCTTCTCTATCCTGTGCTGAGGGGGGAGCCATGTCCAACCTCCCCCAAGATGCCTGGCCTTGCAGTAGATGATACTAGGAGCCCAGGGAAGATCAGATGAAGTCTCAGACTCAGTGCTCAGGGTCAGGCTGCTCAGAGCCATTGATTGCTGAGGGTGCTGTAGGGTTTGTGCTGGGCAGTGCTGCGAGTAGTCTGTGCCCTCCTTGAGGACATACTCTGCTGGACACTGTTTGGGACTTGCCAGGGGGTCCCATGGCAGGAGCCACGGAGGTTAGGTAGCCGTCTTTCCTAGGGAACATAGGTCTCACCCATGTTAGCAGGCGCTGACAGGGAGCCAATGCCAGCACCGAGAGACTGCAGACTGTATGTCTCGGCTTGGGCTCTGTGGCTCTGGCATCACACCAGCCACACAGCCTGTCTCAACCTCTGGATCAAATGGCAGTGATGGTGTTGACACCTTCACTGTGTCTGCTGCTGCTTGTCGAACTCTCAGCGTGCGTTATCCTGTTGGATCCCAGTCCTGGCCCTGGGAGCGTAGGATGGACACACAGGCAAAGCACCTTGCCCAGGTCACTGGCTGTTCTGGTGGGGCTGCTTACTGACCCACCAGCCTGCCTGGAGAGATTGTCCTTGCGCCTCGCCATCTCTCCTAGGTGTTAGGGGATCAGGAGTGGAGCTTATGTGCTTACGGCACTCTGTGCCTGCGTGTCTGGGGCTTGATCTGTGCTCCATGAATGTGCTCTGTTGCTCCGGGGTAAGGAGGACAGTGGAGCTGGGGGAAGGGGCAGTCAGAGAGCTTCCAGGCAGGGGCCATTGATGATGGGGCTTGCCAGTGGGCACACTGCCTCAGCAGAGAGCAAGCTAGAGAGGCGAGTGAGGTAGGGGCAAGTATGTGCTGCTGGAAGGTAGATGGGAGGGTGTACGCCCAACCAGAAAGTGCCCAGCTGGGGGCTGGACTGTGCTTGTTCTTGCCTGTCTTTTAATATGCTTTTCTTTTTTTTAAAGGGGCACTATAGATTGAACCCAGGGGCACTTAACTACTGAGCTATACCCTCTAGCCCCTTTTTATTTTTAATTTTGAGACAGGGTCTTGCTAAGTCACTAGAACCTCACCAAGTTGCTGAGGCTGGCCTTGAACTTTCTATCCTCCTGCCTCAGCCTCCTGAGTAGTTGGGATCGCAGGTGTGCGCCATCACGTCTGGCATGTATGTTAATTTTTAAGAGCAGTTTTAGGTTTGCAACAGAACTGAGTAGAATTTGCAGGGCTCCTGTGTGTCCCTATCTTTCCGCCCTCACCATGGCCAAGTTTGTTAACCCTGATGAACTCGCGTCACCTGTTACCACCAGAGTCCATAGTGTACGTTCTGAAGAGTAATCTGTTGGGTTCTAGCAGATTTCAGTTATCTGCCAGCATTTGAGAATCTGAGTGTTGGGAGTGGACCTGAAGATCAGCATGCACAGAGGGCAGCGCGTGGCCAGGGAGGGGCAGGGTTGCTCCCCAGGGACCTGAGCTCCTGCCACTCCAGCTGCACTGCAGCTTCACAGTAGGTGAGGGTTCTAGAAATGTCTTGTGGAGAAGGCGGGTGTGACTCCAGGGCAAGAGCCATCTACGTCCTGCTCAGTCATGCGTGGGGAACCAGGGGGGCTGGGCACTGGTCTGCTGAGGCAGCAGAGGTGCCCAGCATCTGACCTTGAGTGGGAAGAAGACTGGGAGAGGGGGAGCAGGTGCCCTGTGGTGCTCCCAGCCACCTTTAAATGCAGCCTCAAGTGGACTGAAGCGCAGATAGTGTTCTCAGAGAATGTGGTCTATCAGAAGTGGCTCCAGATGAGATGCGGGAATCTGGGGCTCACCCCCAAATAGGAGTGAGAGCCTGACATGTGTCAGAGTCGATGGTCAGGCCTCACCCCAGGCTGACGTGCTGAGGGCCTGGCTTTGGCCTTGTGCAGATGTAGTCCTGGGATCGGGGGCAGGGAGGGAGGAGAATGGGTTCCAGGACTGGCATGAGCTGAGGATGGGGGAAGGAGGTGGTGGGGGTTCTGTTGGGCCCAGGAAGAGGTGGGGGCGGTGGGATGGAGAGGTCCACTGAGGTCATGAGTCTGTGGGTCTGGGACTGCGGGTGCAGGGGAAAGGGGGAGGCACACCTAGAGCTCGCCCTCAGGGAACTTGTGGCCAGGAAGGAATAGACAAGGTGACTAGAGGGTGGGAGGTGGCCAGTGGTGGAGCACCTGCCTGCCGCGCATGGTGCCCTGGGTCCCATCCCCAGCACTGCAGGAACCAAGAAAGGATGATGAGAGGTGGAGGAAGAAGGGGACCCTTGAGCCCCCCTTGAAAAGGGGAATGGGCTGGCAGGTGGAGGATTGGGCAGGGCTCTCCAGAGAGAAATGCTAGGTGTGGCCAGGAGAGGTGGCAGTGCACAGGGAATCCAGGTCTGGAGGAAGATGCCGCTGCAGGGGAAA